TTCCTCTAAAATGCTATTGAAATTTTTTTGAAATTTGGTCTCCTGGTATTAAGATTTATATTCATATGAATAGAAGTAAAACTGTATTTAATTATAGAAAATAGGTACATCTATTATGGATGTGACGCATTTGGTAAATGACAGGTATATAGACTGCTAGATGAATTGTACATGTATTAGAGGTAAGCTAAAAAAAAAAAAAAAAAGTATGTACCCCTAATTGTAGTTTGTTTTTTCAGATTACAAGAACTAAGTACAAGTAGTACAGAAGAAAATCCGGATTATAGTGATATTGAGTTAATACAGCACATTAATGTTGATGTAAACAGACTCATCAAGCTTCTAAATGGTAAAAAATTCTTATAGCTTTTAAATTGATATTTTATTATACTGAAAATATTGCTCTTTGATAAATGTCTTGAATTGCTTTACTCCTGATTTACATTGTTATTTAAATTGCTTTAACTTGCATTCTGAGAGAGAGAGAGTGAGTGAGTGAGTGAGTGGGGGGTGGGGGCTTGTGTGTGTGTTTGCGCATATGTATTTTTTTTTCTTTCTTCTAGTTACTTTTTATCTTATAGTGTAGGCAAGCTGATAATATTGTTTTTTTAGCTTTTTAAGTTCATATTATATGTTGCATTAATTCAGAGTTGGTGAGTTTATAGACACTCAAGTTATTTAAGAACTTTAAAGTTTCTTGAATTATTTCACCATAATTATATTGAATTACAGTTCATTATGCTTTGTTTCTTTTTTCTATTTTTTTATACATTTTTATTACCTAAGATTCAGTTTCCAAATAAATGTATTGCTTTCAAAACATGTGCAAATTAAGAGTATTTCCCTGATCCAGTCATCATTATCAAGAATTAAGTTTTAGATGAGATTCTTTTGATGGAAAACCTTTCATGAATTCCCTTATGTTACAGAAACCATTCAGAAATTTCGAAGTTTACGGAAGAATGCTCAAATAGTGCTTATGAACTCATTGGAAAAAGCGATATGGAATTGGATGGATACATACCCTAATGAGTTTGCTGATCTGCAGGTATGTTTTTTTTTTTCTTTTCTTTATCTTTCTTTCATTTTTGTAATAGTGTAATAGTTTTTTTTTCCTATCTAATAGTGTAATAGTTTTTTTTTTCCTATCCATGTGCCGATTAGTGGAAATTTATGTAGCTTGACAGAGAATATCTAAAGCATTTTATGAAGTTCCCATATAATGTGACTCGTCATTTCAGAAACGACGGAACGAAGATTTAGCGAAGTGTTGTGAGATTATGTTTGAACATCTGGACAGCTTTACAGAAAACAATAAAAGAAGAGCTGCTGTTTGGCCCTTGCAAATTATGTTGTTAGTTCTCTCACCTGTAAGTGTTTTGCCTTTCTGTTTGATGTTTATGAATACACTAAGAAAAGGATTATGCAATTAAAGTAAAGGTATCAGGAAGAACGTATGTTTTTTTTGATAATTGTTGAATTAAGATCTGAGAAATTCTTAATTCTCAAAATAAGATAACATAAAATATTTTCGTAAATCAAGGAAAAGGATAAATGGACGAGACAGGCAGTATTCGTAATTGGCTCATTGGTGACTTCGTATAAAATTTAGCCATCTCTGTGCAAAAAAAAGTAATGGATAATATACTACCATTTACAAACCAAGTATAATTTTTTTTTCTCTCTCTCTCTCTCTTTCTCTTAACAGAAAGTTTTAGAAGAAATAGTGAATGCAGATGCTGGTGCTCCATGTTCGCAGAGGCATTTCAAAAAGAAGCAGTTTATTGACCAGTTGAAAAAGGCTTTGGTGCCTCACAACATTAGTAGACATCTAACTGAAGCAGCAGCTGTCACCTGTGTTAAGCTGTGCAAGATTGCAACTTATATTAATATCAACGATTCAAACAATGTTGTTTTTGTATTAGTGCAAAGTGTGATTAGTGAACTTAAGGTAAGGATGTGTGTGTGTGTGTGTAGTGTGTAGAGTTGATCATGAATTTTTAATTGCATATATGGTATGTAGGAAAAGCCAGTCCAAGTGAATGTGAACAAGTCTGTATTTTATTTTTGCAATTATTTATAAAAATCTGTTTGACAAGTGATGTGAAATTTATATTTTTCATAATTGTTGGTCTTAAGGGTAATAAACCAACAGGATGTTTAAAGTGAATATAGAATAACCCTAAATACAAAACTCAAATGAGTGAATTTGTACTATTTAATGGAATCTCTCCTCCTTCCAGAATTTGCTCTTCAACATTGTGAAACCGTTCTCCCGTGGCCAAGCATACATTTGCCAAGATGTAGATTTAATGATCGACTGTTTTGTGTCCCTGTTCCGCATCCTCCCACACAACAACGAGGCTCTCAAAGTCTGCCTTAATCCAAATTCCCAGTCAACTTACCATTTTGTGTTGGTCAGCTCTCTTTACAGGTAAGACCTTTTCTTTCTTTTTTTCCTGAATACTAAAAGAAAGGGGGAGAAATGAGAAGAAAGGGTGCCTATTGGGGCAAAATTATATATTAAATGAGTGTATAGTTTCTCTTTGCTTGGAACATTTGCTTATTGGTTGTAACAGAAACATGGGCGAAGAACCCATTTCTTCAAATACATTGCATTCTCTTGCTTGATAGTGGTACTGCTTTACCTTACAGAATAATCACACAACCAAGACTGCCTTGGTGGCCACAAATTGACATTGTATATAACAAGTCGAGTGAGCTGAGGTCAATGTTCACTGATACTCTGAACAAGGTGACACAAGGTTGCATCTCTCACACTCCTCTAAGGATGATTCATGTAAGTTCAAGGCCTTATTTTCTTTTTCTCTATATCTGTATGGATTTGTTTGTACTTGAATATAAAGCTCCTTTGTTAGTCCTTTTGAGATCATGAATAGGAATACAAATTCTGTAGTATTTCTTTAGGAGAAAGCAGGCCAAAGATAGAGGCTTTCATTTTATCTAATGTAGAGATTTAGAGTTGGAATCTTAAGGAAATGAAATTAATAGAATTACTGGATTTACAATATATTTATTCTCCTCTTATCTGATGGCATTCTGTCATTCATTTTTTATTTTTCACAAACTCTTTGAGAAGTCTTTGAGCATCATCCAAGTTAACCCAATGCTGCCGGGAAAATGCTGTGCTCGTTTTAGAATTTTTTGTGAAATGTCTCAGCACATAGATGGCTTCACAAGTGCTTAGCCATGAAGGAGTCAGTTAGACCTTGTGACTTTACCTGATTTCACCTTTCTTTGAATTTGCAGAGAAAATGTATTTTTGAAATGATGCTGTCAATATCGATATTGATTTTTATTATACACACGATTATTATAATGTTATTGATGGTGTTATTTTTATTATAGACATGATTACTATAATGTTGCTGATGTTGGTAACAGCAATATAAGATACCATAAAATATTTCTGAAAATTTTGGAAAAGGGTAAACAGGTGAGACAGGTAGTATTCATAATTGGCTCATTAGTGACTTGGTACAAGTGGAGCCATCTATGTGTAAAAAAATTGATAAAGTTAACTCACAGTGGGCATGGCATGTATGTACATGCCATGTCTGTCAGCTTTGGGTTAAACTCTTCAAAGGAATTTTAAAATGACAATAGAATACCTTTGAAATATAGGTCCTAAATTTGGTATATAAAAGTAAAACATGATGACCAGTAGGAATTGTCATGGTCAGTGGCTGCAAGAGTTTAAAGTCGGCAAGAGTTCTTAACCCTTAAACTGCAACAAGCCTCATGAGATTTCAATTCGGTAGTCTAAAAGTTATTTCTTGTAAAACAGATTTGTATTTGATTTTGACTCCTCTTTGGGATGTTTTGGTTTGACTTTATTCTTTTGGGTGCCATGTCATCCCTTCCACTGCCAGTACCCATTCAGATTCAGAAAGATTAAATGCATAAATGCCCATTTTTTCATGATTTCATCTGGGTTATTGGGAAAAATTGTTAACTTTGAAACTCTCTAATTGTTTTTTTGGGAGATTTTGTCTTGTATTTGTATAAATATATATTTCATTTTTTCTTTCTTATCTAACATGATTTTTGTTCATGGTTTTTACCTCCTGGGAGAAGAGTATTCAATATGTCATCTGCAGTTCAGGGGTTAAAGCTTGATGCTCAAAGTGGTAGAGTGAAAGTAGATGAAGATTAAACTGAAAACACTTTGGTAAAACATGGTAATATATCCTGAGAAGTCCAAGTCTTGTAGGATAGCAGATTCTGAATCCTTTAATTATAAATGAGGTGTATATATATACTTCCAGTATATATTATTTTATTTTATTAAATATACTTTTGGAAAAAAAAAAAAAAATTATGCAGAATTCTTTTGGCATTTGTTAATGAATGGATTGATATTAGCTGCAGATGAAATTCAATGTTGGTGATTAATAGACCTTAGATGAAATGACACCGATTTCTGTAATTTTATTAGAAATGTAGAAGTAGGAGAGTTTTCCATCATTTCTGTCTTTCTCTCTTGCTCTGTCTTTCTGTCTCTCTGTCATTTATCTTAAGTTGAAAAGTTTTTATCTATTTATAGACTCACTTCTCTCTTTGTTTTTATTTTTTTTTTCTTATTCATTTCTCTCATCAGTATATGTATGTGTCTGTGATTGCTTGTGTCCTTTTATGTTTTATTCTTTGTCTCTTTCTGCCTCTGTCTCTCCTCTCCTTGCATCATCTGTCATCTGCAGTTCAGGGGTTAAAGCTTGATGCTCAAAGTGGTAGAGTGAAAGTAGATGAAGATTAAACTGAAAACACTTTGGTAAAACATGGTAATATATCCTGAGAAGTCCAAGTCTTGTAGGATAGCAGATTCTGAATCCTTTAATTATAAATGAGGTGTATATATATATTTCTTTTTTTCTTTCTTATCTGAACGTGATTTTTGTTCATGGTTTTTACCTCCTGGGAGAAGAGTATTCAATATGTCATCTGCAGTTCAGGGGTTAAAGCTTGATGCTCAAAGTGGTAGAGTGAAAGTAGATGAAGATTAAACTGAAAACACTTTGGTAAAACATGGTAATATATCCTGAGAAGTCCAAGTCTTGTAGGATAGCAGATTCTGAATCCTTTAATTATAAATGAGGTGTATATATATACTTCCAGTATGTATTATTTTATTTTATTAAATATACTTTTTGAAAAAAAAAAAAAAAAAAAAAAAAAAAAAAAAATTATGCAGAATTCTTTTGGCATTTGTTAATGAATGGATTGATATTAGCTGCAGATGAAATTCAATGTTGGTGATTAATAGACCTTAGATGAAATGACACCGTTTTCTGTAATTTTATTAGAAATGTAGAAGTAGGAGAGTTTTCCATCATTTCTGTCTTTCTCTCTTGCTCTGTCTTTCTGTCTCTCTGTCATTTATCTTAAGTTGAAAAGTTTTTATCTATTTATAGACTCACTTCTCTCTTTATTTTTATTTTTTTTTTCTTATTCATTTCTCTCATCAGTATATGTATGTGTCTGTGATTGCTTGTGTCCTTTTATGTTTTATTCTTTGTCTCTTTCTGCCTCTGTCTCTCCTCTCCTTGCATCATCTGTCATCTTGTCTCTTCTCTCTCTGTCTGTATGTGTGTGTGTGTGTGTGTGTGTGTGTGTGTGTGTGTGTGTGTGTGTGTGTGTGTGTGTGTGTGTGTGTGTGTGTGTGTGTGTGTGTGTGTGTGTGTGTTTCTCTTTGTTTAGTATTTAAATACTTCTGAATATGCCTAAAATGTGTGTTCGGCAGCAGAATTTTGTCTATAACTTGAGTTATATCTCTTATTTTCCTTAGTTATAGACATCCTCCTTTGTTAAAGGTGTTTTTTTTTATAAAGATATTTGTTTCATTTGTTTCATTAATTAAGAGAACTTATTAATATATATTCTCCTCCCATGTGAAAGTGATATTAGAAACATTTCAGTAGAAAATCCCTTTAGTTGTTTCTTTTACATGAATACTATGCTAAATGGTCTAGGTAGCTTTCTTTTGTCTTTGTTCTATATATTTGAAAACAAATACATATACTAAAGTCTACCTTACTGAATATGTAAAGCAAGCTGATAAAGATTAGTATTTTTACTTAAGGATATTTAGATGTTCACTAAAGAATGAGGAACAGGCTTTTGCACTGTGGAAAAAAAATGTAATGGTGAATCCTTTACGAAATTCACATCATTTATAGAAGTTTAAGTAAGGCTGTCATACTTCTTGGTGATACTCATATTATCTATGATTATCTGATATCTGTAACTATAATTGGTCTTTGATTTTTTCAGTCATATTGCTTATGTAGTTCACATCCGTTCCTTGTTTGGTCAGATATTTCTTGTGTATAATTTTCTCTTTTAGAAAGTTCATTTGAAAGACTTTAAAATTTGTTTATTTTTATATGATGCAATGTTACATTCAAAGGCCAATTTCACTCAAAGATTAGGCTGTTTGTAATAGGTAGTCATCCAAGCAAGACACTAAATTATTCATTACAGAGCAATTCAAATGGAAGAAAAAATTAGTTCAATGTCTTGTTTTTCTGAGGTTTTGATGCGTCATTCCCTCCAGCTTTGGTTATATCATAGTTTTATTTTTGAAAACTGTTTTTTATTGAGTAGGAACAAACTTATTCAGGATTTTTTTTTTTTTTTCTTATGTAATCACATTCATTTGAAAATATAATTTAAAAACTATATAATTGCAAGATAATTACTGTGAAATATGTAAACTGGTATACATTTTTCGTCAAGAAGGCTTAAGGGGTTATTTTGATTTGTTACATTAGGCTACAGAAAACCCTAGTTTAGTTTTTTTTATGATTGTTGAGAGGATATCTTGCTTTAAAATTTTAATCTCTCATGTATTATACATAGTTATTTCTCTCATGGTCCCCCATTCATGCATTTTATCTCCCTTTTAGTATCTCCCTTTTTGAGGAGAGTTTTTATTTGCTTTTTTCTGCTAAATTGTTTTTAGTTGCTGTTTAATTTATTGTCCATCACTGATCATAGAATGCTAAAGTAATTATGATAATTACATTGTAGTTATATCTGTTATCTTTGTGTGCACAGTTCAGTTGGTTATTATTCCTTGCAATGATATGTACTTCCGTTACATTAAGAGGACTTGACATAGCATTTCTTTAGCCTTTCATTCCCTTTGATATTATAGAATTTCTTTAGCCTTTCATTCCCTTTGATATTATATGTCTACTGCTTCTGCCTCAGAGACTTAACTTCATGATCATTTGTACTCCGTCTTCTCATAAGTTTCAATGTCTTTCGTAATAGCATTCGGGTAGTTATCAAAAGTCATTCTCTCTTTGATTCTTTCATTTATTTTTATTAATGAGTAATTTTTTCTGTTGAAAGGTATATACTTACTTTTGCAAATATATATTTATATTTTTGGGTGTGTTTTTTTTTTTTTTTTTTTTTTTTTTTTTTTTCTACTCATTCTACATCTTCATTTTATAGCTTGTGTTCATGTAATGTATAGTTGATTAACCCCTTGCCAATGGGCATGGCATGTACGTACTTGCCATGCCCATTGTGAGTTTGCTTTTTTAATTGTTTTGACACATAGACGGCTACATTTCTACTAAGTCACCATGTTATCTTATTTTGCTGTTAGAAACATTTATAACATTATAGTAATTATAATGTTTATGATGAAAATAACACCATCAATATTTATAGCACTAGTAAAAATATGTTTTTCCTGCCAATTTAAGGAAATGTAAAATCTTTTATGGCTAAGCACTGGCAGAGCCATCTATCTACAGAGACATTTCACAAGAAATATAAAAAATGAGCACAGCATTTTCCCCATTTTTTATTCATTTTCCCTGGTGGCAATGGGTTAATCAAAATGTGATATTCTGGTGAAAGCACCATGTGTTTTATATTGTCCACCAGTTATATAATTTTCCATGTTACTTATATCTTGAAGATCTATCACTTTTATATGATTTCTATGTTAGCCCTCTTGTTCTTCCCCCACCTCCATTAGTCTCAGTATTTTATATAAGTGAATAATCCCAAATATACAGAAGGATAGGAGCTGTGACCCTCTATAGCATGCTGGTTGCATAGCACAATTTCAGTGTATGTCTTGCTGTGGTCTAGTAGTCATGTTCACTTGGTGTATAGACCTCACTCTTTAGTTTTGTGATTTGTTGTTTGCCTTGTATTTTATTTCTCATATATAGTATTAGAATAAGTAGGGTATGTGATACTGGTATTTCAGCAAACATATTCTGGGTGGTTAAATCCGAACTGAGAAGTTTTAAAACAACGGGGTATTAGTGTATACTTTTTTATTTATTTATTTATTTATTTTTCACTAATACTATCTTGTGTTGTATAATTGAGTTAACTTTAAATGTTTTATCACTAGAAAAGTGAAGCTAAAAAAGTTATGGGTAACCAAATGCTTAATATGTAAATATGAATTAGCAAATGTGCTTTTCAATTGAAAATAGACAGCTGCCCCCCCCCCCCCCCCCCCCTGCCTCTCTCTCTCTCTCTCTCTCTCTCTCTCTCTCTCTCTCTCTCTCTCTCTCTCTCTCTCTCTCTCTCTCTCTCTCTCTCTCTCTCTCTCTCTCTCTCCTTCTCTCTTTCTCTCTCTCTTTCTTTTTCTCTCTCTCTCTCTCTCTTTTTCTCTCTCTCTCTCTCTCTCTCTCTCTCTCTCTCTCTCTCTCTCTCTCTCTCTCTCTCTCTCTCTCTCTCTCTCTCTCTCTCTCTCTCGCTCTCTCGCTCTCTCTTTCTCTCTCTCTTTCTCTCTCTCTTCTCTCTCTCTCTCTCTCTCTCTCTCTCTCTCTCTCTCTCTCTCTCTCTCTCTCTCTCTCTCTCTCTCTCTCTCTCTCTCTCTCTCTCTCTCTAACATAGTCACACACACACACACACACACACACACACACACACACACACACACACACACACACACACACACACACAGATGTACAGTTCATTTTTGCGTACACAAAAGCAATGTATGTATTTATGAAGATACATTTGTGAAATTACTAATTGCTTGTAATGAAAGTATGAAGGGCTCTGATAATTCATTTGTATGGTGACAGCACTTATATCATAAAGAAAGGATGGTAATAACCCTAAGCTTAAAAACGTACCCTCATTATTGAAGCACATTTATATATAGAAGTACCTACATATTAAGATTTTGATGATATCCATTAATTGTCATTTGTGTATGCAATATATAAAGCCATTGCATACACATTGTTTTTTGGATTTTAAGAACTTTGTGTTGGCCGCAAGGGAGCTTATCAAGTATAACCAGATATATGGTGGTCTCTTGACCAAACCAATCATAGGAGATTGAAAGTAATTGAAAGTTCCAAAGTGTTTGTGATGGATGAAAGGGGGGGGGGGGGATTTGGGTAAAAGATATTACCCGAATACTTTAATTTCTTGTGTTCGGTATCTAATAAAGGTTTCTTGATCCTTTCAGGGTCTAACACTGAAAGAGAAAGTGATACCTCTGAAGTTCAAGGAAAAGTCCTCCGATGAAGCTCCATCTTACAAGAATCTGCTGCTGTGGATGGTTCGCCTGATTCACGCTGATCCTATGCTTATGCTGAATGTAAGTTTGGTGTAGTGGAATGTGTTTTGAGTAACTGATTAATCACAACCTCATATAAAAGTGAAAGGCTGGTTCAGTGTCAAGTTGAATTTATTCCAAGTTAATATATGCCTTCATTTGCTAAATTTTTTAAGCAATTGTTTCTCCACAGAATCAAGGCAAAGCTGGTCATGAGATCCAGAGTTCTACGCTTGAGCTCATCAATGGCTTGGTGTCATTGGTCCATAATCCCTCAATGCCTGATGTTGCTGCTGAAGCCATGGAGGCATTGCTTGTGCTTCATCAGCCGGAGAAGATTGAGATGTGGAATCCCGAAGCTCCCATCAATACATTTTGGGATGTCAGGTAAAAGGAAAAATGTCGTAATTTATATCTTGTTAAGTTATTCATTAACTCATTGCATGCAGGTGACAAATTGGGTGTTCACCTTGATGATATGAGTTGCCATCATGCCATAGCATATGTTTACTGCTGGGCACGGAATTTCAGACTCCATACTACCACTGCAGCAGATTTCAGCCTTGATAACTTGAGGCTTGCTCTGGATAAGACCCAGTGATATTGTTTATTATTGTACACTTCTAGAGCCAGAATTATCCAGAAGTAGACCTTTGGTTTACATAAATGATCTTATGATTAGGATTTTATGACAGCCAAATGATAAAAGAAAAGAATTATATAACATGGATTAGCATACTAATCCAAGTTATATAACATGGATTTGCATACTAATCCAAGTTATCTTGAAACACTAGAATTGCATGATACTTGATTCAGGTCTGAAATTGATAGAAACATAAAAAGGAATATATAAGAATGTAGAGTGATGTGCAATGTGTGATTGCATAGGCTGCATAATGGACTATATTGAAAAGTTTATGAGAAATGGCATTACAGACACTGTTAAAATTATCAAAAACAAGATGAAGACCAAAAAAATATTTCACCCTTTTACTGTGAGTGATATTTAGTTCCATATATATCTTTTTATTGTTCTTATTATTCTCATGTATTTTATTTATCATTGACAATATGATTGTCATTTAGTTAAAGCTAAAGTTTTTTTTTTCTTCTTGTTATAGTTCACAGGTGCTGTTCTCCATATCCCAGAAGCTTATCCAGCATCAGATTGTCAACTACACAGAGATTCTCAAATGGTTGCGGGATATCTTGGTTTGTCGTAATGCCTTCCTTCTTCGCCACAAGGATTACGCCAATTGCAATATTGGTGCTCATATAGCTATTTGCAAACAAGCCCATATCAAACTAGAGGTGAGCTGTTTGTTTATATTTCTGTGTGTAAGTGAGAGAGTGAGTGTGTGTGTGTCTGTGCCTGTGTCGGTGTGTGTTTTATATTTGTATTTATATATATCTTTAACTCTCTCTTTTTTTTCTTTCTTTTTTTTCAATAGTCAGATTTATAGCCAGATTTATTGATTCAATATGAAGTATATATTTTAGATCAGATCAGAATGCAGATATTGATAAATTTTTTTCATGTATTTATTATAACTTTCAGGTTGTGTTCCTAATGTACCTGTGGAGCATAGACATGGATGCTGTGCTAGTTGCTATGTCATGCTTTAGTTTGCTGTGCGAAGAAGCGGATATTAGGTGTGTGTGGGATGAAGTCACAGCAACGGTTACCTACCTGTTACCAAACTATCATGTCTATCAGGAGTTAGCTTCTGCCTCTACCGTCCTCACAACAGGTATGGTTTTAAAATTGCGTCAGGGTGATTGATTTTGATTTTTTATTCGGATTTTTATTTCTTATTTTGTTTACTGATTTACAGGTAATTGTCATTAACCTTCCAAGGGTGCAGAATAGTAACATTATTAATGATTTATTTATTTCATATGTTTGGGAAAGTTTAGTGCAGACAGGTAGTATTTAATTACAAGGATGTAATTAGTAGGTAGCATTGCAATATTAGACTAATTGATCAGCAGGAGATTGTATTAAGTGTGTGCAACTTGGAGTGTAATATCTGTGATGCAATATTTCATCTTTAGAATTTTTCAGGTAAGTTTTTAACTTGAAATTAATAAACTGCTTGGTGAGTTTATGTATAATCCATATGTGGTACATAATGTAGATCGCTCTGCATACAAGAGGTTATAACTAACATTAGTTTTTGTTGTTGTTGGTTTTATCAGTAAAGCAAAGTATTTTATTCCCCTAATGCAGCCTCTTTGGAATCGAGAATTTTTTGCCAACAACACCACCAGGGTAAGGTCCTTTGTGACTTTTTAAACATGAAGTTTTGACTTATTTTATGATAGTATTTGTTTTTGTTATTTGGTCTGTATTTTGTATTTTATGTTGGCATATATTGTAATGCAGAGGTTGAAGTATTGTGTGATGAGAGTGTAGTATTGAGTGAAGTATTGCTTTTTTTTTTTGACATGTGAATAGTATGACAGAGATTAAAGTACACAAGATTTGAAATATCAGTAGGTGTATAGACTTACTCTAGGTATTCTTCCTCATTTTAATTACTATTTCAAATGTGTGTGCATGTATGTGAGAGACAGGGACTGGCAGACAGACAGACAGATAAACTGACAGACAAATATATAAGCAGACAAGCAGACAGATAGAGACGAAAATAGAGACAGACAGTGATGGAAATAGAGACAGACAGAGACAGAAAGAGAGACAGACAAAGAGACAGAAAGAGAGACAGACAGAGACAGAAAGAGAGACAGACAGAGACAGAAAGAGAGACAGACAGAGAGACAGAAAGAGAGACAGACACAGAGAGAGAGACACACACACAGAAAGAAGAAAAAGAGAGAGAATGAGGTTCAGAGAAAAAGGGTAAAATTGTGAGATCAAGTTTGAAATCAGGAGAAGAATGAGATTGGAAGAAGGAGAAATTGGGGGGAAAAAAGGGGGGGAAATGAACGAAAGATTTAGAAAAAGAGAAAGAGTGAAAAGAGAGCAAGAATGAGCGTGAAAAAAAGAGAGACAAAAACAGGACACAGAGAGTGTTGTCTGTGTTGTACTTGCATGTGTATGTGTAATTTTAGACTCTGTTTTATGTAATATTTGGATATTTCCTTAGTATGACACATACACACACACACACTCATTCATTCATTCATTCATTCATTCATTCATTTATTTATTCATTTATTCACTCACTCACTCACTCACTCACTCACTCATGCACTCACACAGACACACACACACACTCACACTCACTCACTCACTCACTCACTCACTCACTCACTCACACACACACACACATGTGTGTGTGTATATATATATATATATATATAGATATATATTTATTTTTATTTATTTACATACATACATACATTTAGGTGTATATACACATAAGCTGTAATACATTACTAGTGAAAGGTAGATGGATTGTGCAGCTAGCAAGAAAATATTGTGTTTAAATATGCTTTGCTGATTCTCTTGACATATTCATACATGGTTTGCATATAGTTACAAAGTATATTTTTAGCTTATAAAAATAGATTAAACAAATAAGAATTATATATGAATACATATTTATCAATGTATTTCAGCACTGTTGAAAATCATTTATAGAGCTTCAACTTTTTTCTTTCTTTTTTTCTTATAGATTGTATGTATTTTCAGCTTTGTGTTTTCTTTCTTGCTAAGAAAAATGTATGTATATTTTGTATATAGTAGTACACATCAAATTGGATGTTGGTCATGGGAGATGGTGAATTTTCTAAATTATTAACTTTGGGAATTGTGGAATTACAGGCAGGGCTGCCCTCCAAAAACGAATCATGGGTTTACTTCGGAAGATTGAGAAGTGGACGCCTGGTTGCCTGCAGGTAATGAGAGTGTGTTTGTGAACCATCTTCCTCCTTTTCCCGTCATTTTATATTCCTTTTCTTCTTTTTCTTCTTATCTCTTTTCTATAAATGGGAGCATATTCCATCTAGGTATATGAAAATATGTTTTGCTTTTTGAGAGCCATGGCCAAGATTTAGATAGGCTTAGTGCATCTTTATCCACTAAGCTGTGTTTTAAGCTCTGTACATTCATTGTTGAATTTAGTAAATATCGTACCAATTGTGTATATTAGACAGTGATGATATGCTACCTTTTGCAGGCTTGGGAGGACACTTTTATTAATTGGGAAAACTCCACAAAGATGTTAGTTTCTTATCCAAAAGCAAAACTAGAGGAGGGCCAAATATCAGACAGCTTCCACCGCACTGTGTATAGGAGGAGAGCCTCACACCAGAGTACAGAACATGAGCTTGAGGTAAGATATATATTTTTTATAAATTCTTCAATGCAATTTGTAGCAGGAGAGATGTTCAACAAGCTTCTTATGGTTGAAAAGTGTAATTTATGAGGATATACTCTTTTAACATCTTCACATGGGAAAATGGGAAAATTATATATATACATACATATATGTTCTGGCTCTTATTATAATATTTATAATATGGAGTGTCAGATAGTGTATTTATATATTTATATAGCTTATGATATAATTACATTTCCTTTTTCCATATTAGATACAGGACCAAGTAAATGAGTGGGCTAATATGACTGGGTTCCTCTGTGCTTTGGGCGGAGTGTGCTTGCTAGGGAAGTCCCCTTCACGGCAGCAAGGTGTAAGCTCAAACCTCACTAGTGATGTAAGAAAACCGGCAGTTCTACCCAATACCAACCAGGATATGCTCTACTGTCCAGTCACACAGTGAGTAAACATGTCTAAAGAGATTACACTAATGTTTGAATTTGATTATTATAGTTTGGGTCCTCATCTAGATTTTAATAGCTTTATGAAAATTACATGATACATTATGATTGGACGACCCAAATAATCTTCTTACAATCTTTTTCCTTTACCCTACTCAAGGTTTGTTGGGCACCTCCTCAAGCTCTTAGTCTGTAACAATGAGAAGTTTGGAACCCAGATTCAGAAGCATGTGAAGGAGTTGGTTGGTCATGAGATGTCACCTTTGTTGTATCCAATTCTTTTTGACCAAATTAAGGTCATTGTGGATAAGTTCTTTGACCAACAAGGCCAGGTAAGAGTTTTTATGAACTGTTGTAGAAGAGAGAAGTTATTTTTCTCTTTAACATCATGACTCTAGTAAGTATAGGTAATAACTGAACTATTTGATTGTGAATAAATAACAAGTGATTACTATATTTTAGTATCGCAGTTTGTGAGATCATTTACAAGATATAAGCAATGATTCATCTTCTTTTTTCAGGTTATTGTAAGTGAACTAAACACTCAGTTCATCGAACACATAATATTCATTATGAAGAATGTTTTGGAAAACAAGACCGATCATCCATCTGAGCATCTTGGTGTTACATCAATCGAACCCATGATGTTAGCTATAGTGAGGTGAGCACATTCTCAATACCTCATGTGATTTATATATATATCTCGGCTTAATTTTACTTCATTCTTCATTTTCTTCTTCTTCTTCTTCTTCTTCTTCTTCAAATAGGCAGATAATATACCCAATACCCATTGCTGTTACAACAAACCATATTTTGCTCCTTGAGTGATTCACTGTTTCTACTCAACAGATATGTACGTCATCTAGACACCACAGTGCACACGTTGCACATCAAGACTAAACTGTGTCAGTTAGTGGAGGTGATGATGCAAAGGAGAGACGACCTGGCCTTCAGACAAGAGATGAAGTTCCGTAACAAGATGGTAGACTATCTGACTGATTGGGTCATGGGAAATTCTCACCAAATTGCTCCTCCAGGAACAATAGATGTTGCCACTGTTTCAAAGTGAGTTTGTTATATATTACATGTTCATGGTACTGAAAATTAACAAGTAACATTCTGTTCACGTTGTATTTTTTTCATCTTTGGGAAGTCCAGTTAACTATATTCATTTTTTGTTTTGGGATAGTGATATTTATTCACATTCTGATTTCTTTTTCATTAGATGGAGGGGATAATGTATTTGTGTCATAATAGTGGGTCAGAAGTTGCTCTGGCAATAGACAAGAATTATGAGAAGCATTATATAAATATATGAATAAACAGTATCATTCTCCTATAGTACTATCTCTTTAAGTAAGAGAGTAAAGTATCAGTTGAACATTTGTATTGTAGTTTTAGGAATTAAGCTTTACTTGCTACAGAAACTAAAAGCTACAATACTTAATGCAGTACCTTTCCTTGACAGCATGTACATGCAATATGATATCACGGGATGTTGTCGAGACCTTGATCAAGCATGCATGGAGGCAGTAGCTGCCCTCTTGCGAGGGCTGCCACTCCAGCCAGAGGAAAGTGACCGTGGGGATCTGATGGAGGCAAAATCTCAGCTCTTTCTTAAATATTTTACCCTTTTCATGAACCTCTTGAATGATTGTATGGAAGCTCAGGAAGTGAGTAGTTTCTTTTTTAGTAAAGAAAAAAAAATAGTATTATGTTTTTGTTTTGATTATTGATATTATCTTTTAAACTTATGCTGCAGTGCTTCACACATAGATGAAAATTTGTAGGATTATCATACATATCCTAAGATTTTACATTAATTTCCAAAAGGTTGAGAAGGATGTTGCACGGCAGCGGGTGCAGCCAGGTAAACTTTCAACACTGCGTAATGCAACTATCCAAGCCATGTCAAATCTGTTGTCAGCTAATATTGACTCTGGCCTGATGCATTCCATTGGACTAGGGTATCACAAAGATTTACAAACTCGAGCAGCATTCATTGAGGTATGTATGATGCTGGTGACTGTATGTGATGATGACCTTGGTATTGCTTGATGTGAACGATAAATATTGGAAATGGTCTTGAGATATTTCAAGAATTGTTTTGTATATATTGATATGTGTTCTTGTGATATTATTTATATGAGTTCTTGTGATATTATTTATATGAGTTCTTGTGATATTATTTATATGAGTTCTTGTGATATTATTTATATGAGTTCTTGTGATATTATTTATATGAGTTCTTGTGATATTATTTATATGAGTTCTTGTGATATTATTTATATGAGTTCTTGTGATATTATTTATATGAGTTCTTGTGATATTATTTATATGAGTTCTTGTGATATTATTTATATGAGTTCTTGTGATATTATTTATATGAGTTCTTGTGATATTATTTATATGAGTTCTTGTGATATTATTTATATGAGTTCTTGTGATATTATTTATATGAGTTCTTGTGATATTATTTATATGAGTTCTTGTGATATTATTTATATGAGTTCTTGTGATATTATTTATATGAGTTCTTGTGATATTATTTATATGAGTTCTTGTGATATTATTTATATGAGTTCTTGTGATATTATTTATATGAGTTCTTGTGATATTATTTATATGAGTTCTTGTGATATTATTTATATGAGTTCTTGTGATATTATTTATATGAGTTCTTGTGATATTATTTATATGAGTTCTTGTGATATTATTTATATGAGTTCTTGTGATATTATTTATATGAGTTCTTGTGATATTATTTATATGAGTTCTTGTGATATTATTTATATGAGTTCTTGTGATATTATTTATATGAGTTCTTGTGATATTATTTATATGAGTTCTTGTGATATTATTTATATGAGTTCTTGTGATATTATTTATATGAGTTCTTGTGATATTATTTATATGAGTTCTTGTGATATTATTTATATGAGTTCTTGTGATATTATTTATATGAGTTCTTGTGATATTATTTATATGAGTTCTTGTGATATTATTTATATGAGTTCTTGTGATATTATTTATATGAGTTCTTGTGATATTATTTATATGAGTTCTTGTGATATTATTTATATGAGTTCTTGTGATATTATTTATATGAGTTCTTGTGATATTATTTATATGAGTTCTTGTGATATTATTTATATGAGTTCTTGTGATATTATTTATATGAGTTCTTGTGATATTATTTATATGAGTTCTTGTGATATTATTTATATGAGTTCTTGTGATATTATTTATATGAGTTCTTGTGATATTATTTATATGAGTTCTTGTGATATTATTTATATGAGTTCTTGTGATATTATTTATATGAGTTCTTGTGATATTATTTATATGAGTTCTTGTGATATTATTTATATGAGTTCTTGTGATATTATTTATATGAGTTCTTGTGATATTATTTATATGAGTTCTTGTGATATTATTTATATGAGTTCTTGTGATATTATTTATATGAGTTCTTGTGATATTATTTATATGAGTTCTTGTGATATTATTTATATGAGTTCTTGTGATATTATTTATATGAGTTCTTGTGATATTATTTATATGAGTTCTTGTGATATTATTTATATGAGTTCTTGTGATATTATTTATATGAGTTCTTGTGATATTATTTATATGAGTTCTTGTGATATTATTTATATGAGTTCTTGTGATATTATTTATATGAGTTCTTGTGATATTATTTATATGAGTTCTTGTGATATTATTTATATGAGTTCTTGTGATATTATTTATATGAGTTCTTGTGATATTATTTATATGAGTTCTTGTGATATTATTTATATGAGTTCTTGTGATATTATTTATATGAGTTCTTGTGATATTATTTATATGAGTTCTTGTGATATTATTTATATGAGTTCTTGTGATATTATTTATATGAGTTCTTGTGATATTATTTATATGAGTTCTTGTGATATTATTTATATGAGTTCTTGTGATATTATTTATATGAGTTCTTGTGATATTATTTATATGAGTTCTTGTGATATTATTTATATGAGTTCTTGTGATATTATTTATATGAGTTCTTGTGATATTATTTATATGAGTTCTTGTGATATTATTTATATGAGTTCTTGTGATATTATTTATATGAGTTCTTGTGATATTATTTATATGAGTTCTTGTGATATTATTTATATGAGTTCTTGTGATATTATTTATATGAGTTCTTGTGATATTATTTATATGAGTTCTTGTGATATTATTTATATGAGTTCTTGTGATATTATTTATATGAGTTCTTGTGATATTATTTATATGAGTTCTTGTGATATTATTTATATGAGTTCTTGTGATATTATTTATATGAGTTCTTGTGATATTATTTATATGAGTTCTTGTGATATTATTTATATGAGTTCTTGTGACATTATTTGATGCCAAGCACTTGCTTTCCCCATTGCTCTGGAATATGTTTTACAAGGAAGTTGAAGTATCTGACTGTATGCAGACTCTCTTTAGAGGCAACTCACTTGGAAGCAAGATAATGGCATTTTGCTTCAAGGTTAGTGTATATGATTATGTGGATTTGTATAATATTTTTTAGTGATCAGTGATTCTTTATAAATCCTGACCTTAGGTTATATTTTGTTCATACAATTATGTATATTATACACATAGGTTTAGTGATTTATCAGTACATAACTTTAAGAGTGAGATTAGTGCTTGTTCCATATCTGCAAATATTTTGAATAAGGTGTGTAATTTACAGACTTACATTCCCTTAGGAGTACTGTATTTGGAAAGGTTTTATATCATTACATCAAATCTTGCAAAACAGTATGTTGCAAATGTTCTGGAATTAAGGTGAATTAGGTTCTTCATCAGAGATACTTTTTTTAAATCTTGGTGTGAAGTATGATATAACTATATTTCTCTTTGTAGATCTATGGAGCATCTTATCTGCACAATCTCCTAGAACCCTTAATACGGCCGTTAATGGACGACGTTACCCATTCCTATGAAGTTGATACTGGAAGATTAGATCCATCAGAAAATGTAGAAGAGAATAGGAGAAACCTTATAGCACTTACACAGAAAGTCTTTGGTGCTATCATTTGCTCTTCAGACAAGTAAGTTGAAGATAAATTTGCATCTAGAAGTTTGTTATTTTTTTAAGTGCCAGTATATGACAACACAGTCACACATACACACATAGATGTGTACACTTAGATGCATACTCAGAAATACACCTGCACAGATGCACACATACTTAGTGGAAATGCTTGTACTTGCTCCATGTCTTTGGATAATTATAGTATAGGTAATCTGTGTTGACATTATATCATGTCATTATTGTCATGTGCTAGCTGAATCAGGTATATTTTGAGTTCATGTGATATTATTTATATGAGTTCTTGTGATATTATTTATATGAGTTCTTGTGATATTATTTATATGAGTTCTTGTGATATTATTTATATGAGTTCTTGAGAGATATAAAGCACTGTTGAAAACTTGGTAGCTTATATCTAATAGTGATAAAGGAATTAACCCTAGTGGTAATAAAACAGTACAGATGGTATTTCACATTTATTAATGGATAGAAATTTGTTTTTCCAAGCAATTGTTCAGTATGTTATTAATGAATATATATCTTTTTTATACATATAGAGAATATTATAAAGATTTGGATTTATCTGGTGAATACCTTAAGCCGAATATAGTATTTGTTGAATAGTAGCCAGTATTATTTAGAATTATTTAAAGGAAATAAAGTGCACTCTGGATTTTATCAGAAATAGGAAAGGCTATATAACTGTTTTGAAAATTGTTTTACCTCTTTGTTTTATAAATAGTTCCCTCATCTAAAGTCATTTTTCCTTTCCCAAATAGCTTTCCACCTCAGCTACGAAGCATGTGTCACTGCCTATACCAAGTCTTAAGCAAAAGATTTCCTCAGTTCCCACAAAATAATATTGGTGCTGTGGGTACTGTAATATTCCTCCGATTTATAAATCCTGCTATTGGTGAGTAAAAGATCTGTAGCTTTATACTATGTAGGCCCATATCAGTAGACATATAATATAATATGATATGATATATAATATAATATGATATAATATAATATATATATATTATATATAAATGTATGTATGTGTGTATATGTATGTATAGGTAGATACATATATAGATATATATACAAACATATATGTTTATGTTGTTTGCCTACACTTGTGTGTGTTCATCATCATTAGTGTATTCTTAGTCTTTTGAATTATAAGTTAATTTTCCTTGTTGAATTACAGTATCCCCCTGTGAGACTGGCATCCTGGACAGTCAGCCATGTGGACAAGTGAAGCGAGGGCTGATGCTGATGTCCAAGATCCTGCAGAACATTGCCAACCATGTAGAATTCAGCAAGGAGCAGCACATGCTCCCCTTCAACGACTTCCTGAGGCAGCACTTCGAGGGGGCAAGAAGGTTCTTCATCCAGATTGCTAGTGATTGCGAGAGTGTGGAACAGACCAGCCATAGCATCTCGTTCATCAGTGATGCTAATGTGCATGCTCTTCATAGATTACTGTGGAATCATCAGGAAAAGATAGGTGTGTTGAGAATCAAAGATCTCTTGCATGTGTGTTACAGGATCAATCAGTACTTTTAGAGGCTGTATTAAGGTGGAGAAATAAGCTTTTATATAAAGAGAGAAATAGATATAGATATACATATATGGAAAGATAGATAGATCTAGGCATTTTGTTTCATAGACTGAATGTTTTTAAAATAGCATAATAAATACCAGACATTAATTTCCAAACCTTATTTTAGGGGAATATCTGTCGAGCAGTCGGGACCATAAAGCAGTTGGCAGAAGACCATTTGACAAAATGGCCACGTTGCTAGCATACTTGGGACCACCTGAGCACAAACCCATTGATTCTCAGTGAGTTCTGGAGATAAGCACAAAAATATATAATTTGCTTCATAAAATGATTTTAGTTAGTATGGGTGTTGTATATGTACTAATTGATCTTGCTATCATTTGCACAGATGGAGTAGCATGGACATGACAAGCACAAAGTTTGAGGAGATTATGTCCAAGCACAACATGCATGAGAAAGACGAGTTCAAGTCCATTAAGACGCTAAACATTTTTTATCAAGCCGGAACATCTAAAGCTGGCAATCCTGTGTTTTACTACATTGCCAGAAGATACAAGTATGTGTTTTTTTTTATACAACTAGAATGATAAGATGTGCCTTATGATTGATAGAATATGTAACCAAGATGATTGAGAGAAGTTGTTATTAATTTATTGTTTTTTGTCATTGTGTTTGCTCTTCACAGAATTGGGGAGACGAATGGCGATCTTCTGATATACCATGTGATACTCACTCTCAAACCCATTTGCCGAAAGCCTTTTGAACTTGTTGTGGATTTCACTCACACTTGCGCAGATAATAGATTCAGGTAAGGCTGCATTTAATTTTGCTTTTTCTTTGTGACCATTTTTACTTTCCACATTAATTTTCTTCCACCTTTCATCTTCATCTTAATTTTTCTATGTTTTCTCTAACTTATTTGTTTATTTATTTACTTTTTTTTTTGTAGATTTGATTACCCTGCTTCATGTAATATAATGTACCAGATTCAAGGGAGAATTTTTGCATAGCCTATGTTTCTCTGTAAATCTGTGGGAAGTCTATCTTTTTCACATTGAGGAATATCTTCTCACAGAACGGAATTCCTGCAAAAGTGGTTTGTAGTGTTACCCGAGGTTGCATATGAGAATATCCATGCTGCCTATATCTACAACGCCAATTCCTGGGTGAGAGAGTACACAAAATATCATGACAGAATCTTGGCACCCTTAAAGGTAAGAAAATTAAATACACATTCCCCTTGCTGTATAAAAATTAAGGAGTTCAGCATAAGAATAGATAATGATATGATTTATTGGAATGCCATCAAATATACTGTACTAGTCAAAAGCAATATGGTGACTTACAATTTTCTTAATCTGCTTATCATGAATATTGATATTATTATTTTGATTGATTATACATATCACCTTTCAAATGAAGAAAACACAATCCACATTTCTCACCTTGTCTTGATATTATCTCATGCCTAATCTCTCGTATCTTTTCCTAAAGGGAATAGGGGAGCTGAGGCTTCTGCAGTTATGTGTACTCTACATACTCTTTATTTCCTCACAGGGTCACAAGAAACTGATATTCTTGGATGCACCAGCACGGTTAAATGACTACATTGAGCCTGACCAACAGAAACTACCCGGGGCAACCACTTCCTTAGATGAGGATCTCAAAGTCTTCAATAATGCACTCAAATTGTCTCATAAAGACACAAAAGTTGCAATCAAAGTAAGAAAAGAATTTGATTTATGAAATATATTAATAATGTTTATTAGAGATATGGTGATGTTTTTCATTATTATTATTATTATTATTATTATTATTATTATTATTATTGTTTAATCCTTGCTTTAGTTTTATCATCTAATTTTATCCATTTGTAGTGGCTGGAGAATATGAATGATAACAATTGTATTGGTCAGTACAGTACAGGGATAACATATGTATGTTCTAGGAATGAGAATACCATTGAATGTTTGAATTTACAACTTTGCCTTGATTACAGGTGGGTCCTTCAGCAATCCAGGTAACCTCAGCAGAGAAGACCAAAGTGCTGTCCCATTCTGTACTTCTCAATGATGTTTACTATGCTTCAGAGATTGAAGAGGTAAAGTATATTAGGTCCATTTTAGTGTATCCAATTGTATCTAGTTTCTGTGGATAAAATAATAATGGAGGAATTAATCTGAAATAAATGTCTTTTTTTTCGTCTGATAAACAGGATTTGACTTTGAACTTTGTATCTCTAATTTTTTTTCAGCTGTTTTCATGATATGATTTGGATGTTTTATACTGTTATGATGAGGATGTAACATTGATATATAGGGGGAATGAGATTTCCTAAAGTTGATTTATAAAAGATTGTGATGGGTGGGTTCACTGCAAAATTGGTAATGATGCATACCTTTTTCACTGACCAGGTTTGTCTTGTGGATGACAACCAATTCACCCTGACCATTGCAAATGAATCTGGACCCCTGTCATTCATTCATAATGACTGTGACAGTATTGTCCAAGCTATTATTCATATCAGAGCAAGATGGGAACTTTCTCAGCCAGTGAGTACTTTATACATTTTTGTTGTTTTTTATAGGCCAGGTTAGCTCATAATTGTAGATACCTGATTTTAATTAATCTTATTCTGAGTTACCTATGTAGAAAGTATTGGATGCTCTTACTTTTCACACTGCTGCTGGCAGTCCATATACTATGTAATGATATTTGAATTATATATCCATTCCTTTTCTTAATAGCATTTTTTATTTGATTCTCATGTTGATTCTTAATGGTTGTTATTTATTTCTAAAGGACTCAGTAACTGTGCACCAGAAGATTCGGCCAAAGGATGTTCCAGGCACTCTGCTCAATATGGCGCTACTAAACCTGGGTTCCTTAGACCCCAACCTGAGAACAGCAGCTTACAATCTCCTTTGTGCTCTCACTGCCACCTTTGACTTGAAAATTGAAGGACAGCTATTAGAAACTTCAGGTAAGGGATCTCACTGTAAATATATATATATATATATATATATATATATATATATATATATATATATATATATATATATATATATATATATATATAATTTTTTTTTTTTTTTTTTTTTTTTTTTTTTTTTTTTTTTTTTCTACAGTAAGTCTGAGAAGTAGAAAAACATATGAGAGTTCAAGGCATATGGCCATTTTTTGTGTAGTGCATATTAAGGTCAAGGAGATATTAATGCAGTGATTCTGAGCTGGCTGAAGCACCAAAAGGCCTAACTCCAGGGCACACAAAAACATGTCATTGCACCACAAGCAGGCAACTAGTACATATTTTTTCATTCCACATATGCACCAATAAAGTCAGGGTTTGGTTCAGACATTGTACAAGATAATGAAGCATTAGAGCTGTTTTTTAATATAAATTCCAGTAAAAGTTTCCAGCCACATGATGTAAAGGGCTATAAACTATTTTGTGACTGAGATAATGAAGGTATAATATAGATGCGATCTGCAGATAAAGGATTAGGGGCATATGTATTTAAGTTGTACTTAGTTATAATCTGTAATGGAACTATGTAGATGAATGTCTTAATAATGCTTATTATACATGCTCTTTCTCTCCAAATGATAACTAAAGTGCCATGGATTTGAGAGAATTTTATGTCCTCTTTACACAGGGTTGTGCATTCCATCCAATAACACCATCTTCATCAAGAGTGTCAGTGAGAAGTTGGCAGCTAATGAGCCTCACTTGACGCTAGAGTTCCTGGAGGAGTGCATACAGGGCTTCAGGGCTTCCAGCATCGAACTCAAGCATTTGTGTCTTGAGTACATGACGCCATGGCTGCCCAATCTTACAAGGTAGGGAGAATCAGTTTGTTTTTTGCTTGTGTGTGTACACACATGTATGCGTGCGGGTGTGTTGTGTTATAAAAATTAAAAAGTCATGATAAGGAGAAAGGTTTTATTACTTTTGTAGATCTCTGTTATTAACAAAAATGTGATTGTCTTTGATATGTGTTTCTGTATACATGTATGGTTTTATGAGACATTAAATTATTATTTGATTTTTTTCACATCATTGCAAATTTTATAGGTTTTGCAATCATCCTGATGACAAGAAGCGTGCTAAGGTTGCCATGATTCTAGATAAGCTCATAACTCTGACCATTGAAGAGGTTGAAATGTACCCATCCATACAGGCCAAGATATGGGGTAACATAGGACAGGTAAGACATGGCCCCTGTTTATGTATGAATTTTATGGCAGATATCAAAAGAATTGTTTATGCTTTATTATAATATTTGGGAATAAAAGGAGAACTAAAGATTATGGGTGGTGATTTATATATATATATATATGTATATATGTATATATATATATATATATATATATATATATATATGTATATATATATATATATATATATATATATATATATATATATATATATATATATATATATATATTTTTTTTTTGTATAGAATGTCTAAAATAGTATCTATGCTGTAGTGCAGCAGGTGGTGGGTGGAAGTGGGGAGTATAAGATACTCCAGTTTCATTGCCTGTATCTCCCCCCCCCCCCTCCCAATGAACAATAGTAATATTTTTTTCAGATCACTGTCCTATTCTGGAAAATAGATAATGAAATACACTAACATGATATATACAAGTTAACAGGTTGTATTATTGCAAAATGATAAATACCCATGCCATGTCTACCCCAGCTCCAGTACATTAGCCTCACTAGCTTAGTGACACTGTCCTGTTGTCACTTTATGTTGAATGTGGAAGTAGATAGGAGCAGCCTAATCAAGAAATGTAAATATGGTTGTTTACGTAGGCTTATATCATCGTGACTTTTTTTCAAAATTGTCTCCTGTGCTCCTGCTGTGGCATTTTCTGTTACACTTTACATTTCCTTGGGATTTGTTTACACTAGAATACATACATTAATGCTTTACTTGTGTTTTGAAGATTTTTCAAAGACTATCACTTTGAGATAAGCAAAATTGTATTCAACATATCCTATATCCCCTTGGTGCCGGGTCACGCCGATAGGTGTGTAAACAAACCGCTCGAAAGCTGGCGTGCAGCCAAATGAGCTGGCGGCGAGCCAGTGATTCGGGTTGACGTCCCGTACTCGCGCGCTCAAAGTCAGCGCGCCGCCTTTGTTTGCTAGAGCGTAGGTTTTTTTTTCCTATTGTACACCCGGCGCCATTGGGATATTATAACTTCAAGTCTCCCTCTGATTAAAAGTTCTTACTATGCTAACTCATGTAAGCATAGAAACTATACTTCTACTATCACTGACAAAGGGCCTTAGATCATATCATCAACACAGTCTGTTATTTTGAGATAAAGTCCTGAGCCTTTGCTGTGTTTAATTGCTTGTATAAAATGATCCTTATAAGGCATCACAGTCAAGTCCTTCCCACTGCCTGATTTGGGAAGTGTGCTGGATGCTGGATCAGTTATGGTTAACCTCCCACCCTGAACTGTAACAGTGGCAGAAAGGTGTGGTTCATGAAAGGAGATATCTGTTCCTTATTTACAAGTTTTCTCTTCTCCCAGTGAATTATAGGACTAATAGGTGCCACTAGATTCTTTATGAATTCTGGGGTAATATTTTTGTTAACATGTAGGTTAAGAATTGAATGTACTTGATGTTTTTCTTCAGCATAAAAGATATACATTAATAAACAGTGTTTAATATTGTCAGAGTAATGCTGATGAAAAATACTAACCTACAACTTGCAATATCTATTTTTTAATTGATTGGTTATATACAGTATATGTTGAATGAATAATTCTTATAGGATTTCTAAGAATGCTACTGTTGTTATTTGCAGGTGTCAGAGCTAATAGATATGGTGCTCGATTCCTTCATTAAGCGGTCTGTGACTGGAGGACTAGGATCGGGGCAAGCTGAGATTATGGCTGACACAGCTGTTGCTTTAGCCTCAGCTAATGTTGCTTTAGTGGCAAGAAAAGTCATAGGACGGCTTTGTCGGGTAGGATTTTTATTCATTTGGTTTGAAAAGTGTATGGAAAGAATAAACACACATGTTTTTCTTTATTTTATGTATGTTATTATTTAAGAACAAAATCCTCTAATTAGAGTAATTTTTAAAATTCATAATGGTTAAAGTTTGTCAGCTTGCATACAATGCAGCATTAATTTCATGTTCCACCATACAACAAGTCTGATATTATCCATAATGGTAACATTTATCTTCAATTATTACAGGTGATAGACAAGACATGCACTTCCCCCACATCTACGCTGGAGCAGCATTTGATGTGGGACGACATAGCCATCCTGGCACGTTATTTGCTCATGCTCTCATTTAATAACTGCCTGGATGTAGCACGCCACTTACCGTACCTGTTTCACATCATAACTTTCCTGGTGTGCACTGGGCCACTCAGCATGAGGGCCTCAACACATGGCCTAGTTATCAACATAATTCACTCACTGTGTACCTGTACTAAACCCTCATTTTCTGGTAAGTTCGAACTTGTTTGATAATTTAGTCTTGCAAAGCTTTATAGAGATCATGTCCTTTCC